CTTCTTGAAGACATTTTATTAAGGTTGCTAAAGTTAGCATTAAGAAGTGGTGTGAATGCTAAGAAGAAGGTGCTAACAAACTTGCTAAAAGTAGCATTGGTCACTAGAAGAAAAATGGTGTGAATGCTAAGTGGAAGATGCCACAAAAAATTCTAAAAGTAGCATTGGCTACTAGAAGTGAAAGAAGCATAGATGATAGTGATGGACAATTTTAAAATAGTACTCACAAGTACTCGAATCACTGTAGTAATAGTGTGCAAAAATAAGGGTCAAACCCACACGAAATTGGTACAATGTAATTTATAAACTTGAGAATAATTAACATAATAAATTAATGTAATCAAAATGAGATATTAAAAATAACTAGATCAAGCTAACAAATGACTTATAAAGCAAAATAATCAAATAACCACGAAGCAAGACAGCAAAGGATAAAGGCTAGGAACATCAATCAATAAACCTTTACTAATTCTGAAAATTAGTTTAACTTGCCAATCAATTAAGGGTTAGTTCTTTTCTAAAATATAAAACATCGTATGGCGTCCAAAGTTAGTTACGTGCTTTAACCATTCATCTACTTAAGATACTTATTTAAATGAGTTAATACCTCCAATGTTCCTCCGAGTATTAGCAGTTTACCAGCTATGGTCATCCGAGTTTTAAATGACCACCAAGTTTTAAAAAATAACCACTAGTGGTCCTTTTAGGACGTCTCGTAGTCATTTTAAACTCGTTTTTTTTTTTTAAGAATTAGGACCACGGGTGGTTATTTTTTAAAACATGGAGGACCATTGGAGGCCATTTAAAACTCGGATGACCACAACTGGTAAATCGCTAATACTCAGAGGACCATTGGAGGTATTAACTCTATTTAATAGTTAAAACCCACTAAGTCCTAAAAGAACTACGGAATACCCTGTTTAGGAACCAAATAAATAACTTGATAGGACAATCAAATTATCTACTCATTTCTCATTCAGAGCATGGAATTAACAGGCATGATGTTTACTCAAAAAAATCCCTCAAACAGATTAACCTATGCTAGAATTGACCAGATTCAACACAGTTAATCACAATGCAAAACACAAGACAAAACATAATTGAGTTGGAAAAACTAAAATCTAAATTACTGCAAGAATTTTCATAGTGGATAATTCATGCTCCCAGAGTAAAGAATTAACATGTCATTAAGAGACTAATGGCAATCATCTTCTTAAAGAGAAAGAGAAACTAAAGCTTCAAAGTTCATATCCAGTTTTAAGATACTTGACCTGTTCAACTGCCAGATGTAGATTCAAAAGCCAAGAAATCTAAGTTCGAGAAGAAGAAAATCCTTTTCTTCAAACTTGTATCTCTACTCGGTAGTAGTAGAAAGAGGCGGTGTAAACTTGGTGAAGAGTTGAAAAATCCATTTGTGTGGAGTTCACGGCTAGCTTGGTGTTCAAAGCGTAAACGTCTGAAATTTATACTAGAGATAGTGCAAACCTCCTTAGGGTTTAAGGAAAAGAGTGGAGTAGGTCGTTATAGACTCTCTAGCCACACCAAGTTCATCAAATCGGTGACACATCGAGAGGTCAAATACCTCGAGAAGTCGAGATTCCGAGGAGTTGTAGATGTTGTGCTACAACTGCAGGCTGGAAACCAGGGCACTTTAAGACGGAATGCCATATCAGGTGGTCTGAAAACATCAGGATCATCCGAGGAGCTCTGGAGGCCAAAGCAACTCAAGGAATGCCCCAGCTGTGGTGAGTGGTCGAAGAGCCAACAACTTGGGTAGTTACTCGAAGGGTGACAAGAGGCGAAAAGCACTGGTAACTGAGGAGACAGTCGAGAAGGAAGTTCCTGAGCAGTGCACCTCCAGTTTGGGGTGAGACCTCAAGCGATGAGAAGGGATTCATCTGTCTCTACAGTCCGAACCACTCGGATGAAGATCTATGCTTAATGGTGAAAAATGAAGAGGTAAACTCTCGATCCTCTTCTTCTACCCAATGTGATTTCGATTCTAACTGTAATGAAGTTCCTATGGATTCAGTTTTTAAGCTAATGAAAGACTTCAAAGTTGTCAAGAACACTCATTCCAAGCTTAAAGAAGAGAATGCTCAACTATTCGCTGAACGCAAAAATCTCAAGAGCATTGTGCTAAAAAATAATGAGATATTGAGCACAATCAGCCAGTTTGAGAAGCAAGTTCTCTTACTAAAGGAATAAGTGCAAAGCAGGGGAAGTGAGAGAGCATAATTTGCGTGAGGTCATAGTTGTAACACCCCGTGTTACGGCCTTCAATCCCGGATTAATTATTTAATTAATTCCGTTAATAATAATTAAAAAGGATTTAATTTGGCTAGGATTCCCTTAAATTAATTAATGTGGTCCACCATGGATCATGGACCCTTGCCTAAACTAGAGTCTTAAGCCTATTAGGAATAAAAAGAGTAAACATTTTACTAATCAGATTCTAATTAGGAGTCCTAGACCTAATTATCTATTAGGAATGTAGAAAGTAGGCCTTTACTATTCAGATTATGATTAGGATTCCTGATGCTATAAATAGGGGATTAGAAAGCATTAGAACCCTTACCACCATAGTTATATTACACAAAAGTATTTCCAAGGGGTTCCCCCACCACCAAGCCTAGGGAGATCAATCGGATGGAAATTTTAGGGAAGAACCTTAATAGCCAAGGGAGGATTAATTAAGGCTAAGAGGTAACCCATGTCTCAACAAAACCTATTTTCCTTGCTATAATGTTTTTCTTTGGCTCCCCATTCTATATTTGTGTCTTGACGAAATCGTCTATGATAATTGTGATATGATCTTGATAATTGTTGTGGTGATTTTATGTGTGATCTTGATGTTCTTGATGATGATAAGAGGTTCTTGATAATTGTGGGATGTTCTTGATAGATCTTGATGTTCTTGACTTTTAAAGATAAAACATGATTTTGTGATCTAAATATGATTAGAGCCCTAGGTTGAATCATGAATTTCGTATTGGGATTTTCTTGGCATATTTGGGCGGGAATTCGCATGTTCGGGTGTTAATTGTGTCTAGAAGTCATGTTAGGTTGTGTTCTACGTGATTGTTGCTTTTAATCCGTTAATTGCCTATATGGTGTCGTTATTTGCGTTGAAAGTGTCTAAGCATGATTTCGGGTCCCGCAAAGGATCCCGGGACGTTTATTGTGATAAGGAGTCAGTGGGGGGTAGGTGGGGGTAGGGGGACCCGCCACCTACCCGCTGCCCAAAGAAGCATCGTCGGCAGCGGGCAGCGGGCAGGCAGGCGATTGCCCGCCGGGCACCCGCTGCCCGGAAAGTTATCGCCAGCGGGTAGCCCTCCACCCTTCGGCTACCCGCTGGTTGTTGCCCACTTCGAGTCTTTGGCTTCCCCGTTTGATGTTCCCCAATCCCCGTGGTGTCCCAACGGACCCCGTTTGTCGTGCATGAGTCTAGTTTGATGTTCCGGGTGCCATTCGTAGGATAAAAGAGTCTTAGGTATTGCATAATAGTTGAATCAGTAACCCGTTGGCCTAGGAGGAAGATATATGAACCCCTTAGGACTATTCTTAGTATGTGAATGATCACACGTAAGTTTCTTTATACGTCTCCCCCTTCCCAATGTGCTAATACGTGCTACTATGTGTTATGTGATGCATGATACCCCAATTTGGTTGCGATCAAAAGGGTTGTTAACGGAATTGTGGACCGCGGTGCATGTGCATGTGCATGTTCATCGTTATATTGTGGACCGCGGTGCATGTGCATCGCGGTCAAAAACGGCACCGTTACCGTTAACAGAATGTGTATTTTTTGTGTATTAATTACCAACTGAAACTACAGTGTATCTAAACTGATACTGTCTCACGTATTATTTTTATATTATCAAGTGAAACTGCAATTGAAATGAAACTGTAGTTGTATTGAAATGAAACTGTAGTGTATACAAAATGAAACTGAATAACAATTTTACATATTTGAGTGTATATTACCCAGCAAAACTGTAGTTATATCAAAATGATATTGTAGTTGTGTTGAAATAAAACTACAGTGTATATAAAATGAAACTGAATAACATTTCATATATTTGAGTGTATATTGTGCAATGAAGTTGTAGTTATATCGAAATGGTAATGTAGTTGTGTTTTAATGAAACTATAGTGTATATAAAATAAAATTAAATACCATTTTCACATATTTGAGTGTATAAATATCGAATGAAACTGTAGTTATATCAAAATGAAACTGTAGTTGTGTTGAACTGAAACTGTAGTGTATACAAAATGAAACTGAATAACAGAATTACTTTTTGCGGAACGGCGGAAAACATGTGCCATTTCTTTTATTAAACAAACCGATGTCGTTTTGAAGCTCGGTGCATAATCAATTATGCACTGCGGTGCACGATATAATTTGCCCAAAATTTTACTTTATTTCTCTCTTCATCGCATCTACTCAAATCGATCACACTCTAACTTAAAAACTTAATATTTAAAAATGTAAGTCACTAACTTCCTTTAAACTAATAAACAATCAACAAAATTAGTATACTAGCTAGGGTCAGTAGTCAGCATATATATTTTTCTACTAAAATGTGGAGTTAGAATGCTATTAGTGGAAAAAGAGATATAGAAGTAAATTTTATTAGTAACTTTGGTGAACTAATATAATGTTTTTTAAAAGTAACATACGATATTAATAAATCCATCAACGCAAGGATCAGACCAAAAGTAAATTGGTGAACTAATATAATGTTTTTTAAAAGTAATATACGATAGATATTGTTGAATCCATCAATGCATCGGACCAAAAGTGGGAGAAAGTGATAGATAATGCTCATAACACAAGCTAAATTCACACTATTATATTATCCGCAAATTTTGCAATAAAAAATCAATCATTATTACGTGGACGACCGTGATTCACACAGCTGTGTAGACCACGATCTAAAAACATATAAAGTTAATTATTATAACTCATAAAATATATTATCTTGCCCTAGAAATTTCACTATTTTAACACATATATAAAGTGACATTATTCTAACTCATAAAATACATTATCTTCACTATTATAGCACAAATAAAATACACTATTCTAACACATAAAATACATTATTCTAATTCAAAATGCATTATCTTATCTCAGAATATTCATTATTCTAACAAGCGAGAAACAAGAAATATTTTTTTTAAACATCAAAACGATATTGTTTCGGACCGCATTACGTACAATAATTTGTCATAAAAAATTACCTAATCCAGCTGAGATAGTGGTTGAACTGTGGCCGGTACCAAAGCAATCATGGTCGCTCTCTGAACGCTTGGTAAATCCAGAAAGCCCATTTGTCTGTCTCAGTGTCGACATCTTCCCCCTTCTACCCGTCAAAATTTTATGAGGGTAGGACTGCAGATGGAATCATGAAAACATACTCAAATTCGATCAAAACAATTATATCTGATCTAGTACTGTAATTCGATCATTATATTATATTACGAATTGAACCTAATTTAATTTTCCAATGAACAAATAAAATTAATCCAGTAGTACGTATAGTACCGTACCTGATGACCCACATCCCACAGAATCTTATCCTGCGGTGTGTTGAACACATAATGAAGTGCTACTGTGAGCTCCACAACACCCAGGTTGGAGCCAAGATGACCCCCCGTCTTTGAAACATTAAATATCGTATCAGACCTTATCTCATCAGCAAGTTGCTCCAGTTCCTACGTTAAATAATGTAATACAAGTATACAACCCCACCCCGGCCAGTTCAAAAATTAAAACCATCATATCATATAAACAATATACATAATAATGGACTACTTTAGATTTTAATTTCTACCTTCACCGACAGATTTTTCATGTGAATTGGATAGTTAATGGTGTCCAAAAGTGGAGTTGGTGGCCTCTGTGAGTAATACATCCCTTTCTCTGTCACTACTGCCTGAATCCCACTTGATCTCTTCTTCACCTTTTAACAAATTACAAGGGAGCTGAGCTAAGAAAATATAATTTCTACAAGTAAAACTTCTATATTATTTGTTATTACTTATTATCTTATTAGGTAAATAAAAAAGAGGTATCCCATTTTTTCGGCAAATTATATAGTGTATTTCAAGATCCTTTTAACAAATTGAATTCAGGTTTATTTTTAGAGTAAATACCAACAGTGGTCCCCGACTTTGATGGCACTGTCACTTTTAGTTCTCAATTTTTAAATCAACAACTTTTAGTCCTCTTACTTTTTGTTTCTAGCCATCTATGGTCATTTTGATATACTTGGCTATCTAATGTCGGTTTCTCAAGGGTAATTCGATCCTTTCATAATTAATTTATTAATTATTATATTTAATTTCCTCATCAGAATAGTCAAACAATGGTTTCTCCATGAACGTGTACAAAACCAACTCGTGTATCCATATATGCATTCACAATTCGTCGCCGCTTTCATTGGGGAAACCATTGTTTGACTATTCTGATGAGGAAATTAAACATAATAATTAATAAATTAATTATGAAAGGACCAAATTACCCTTGAGAAAACGGCATTAGATGGCCAAGTTTAACAGAAGGACCATAGATGGCTAGAAACAAAAAGTAAGAGGACTAAAAGTGGTTGATTTAAAAGTTGAGGACTAAAAGTGGCAGTGCCACCAAAGTCGGAGGACCTCTGTTGGTATTTACTCTTTATTTTTAATATATTACTGAGTATATGTTTATTTTAATATTTTAATAATTTAATGTCACGTGTTAATTATGAAACATAAAAACAATGAAGGAGAGTGGAGATGGGGTCTAAAGTGGGCATATTTCTTATGCGCACCAGCATTTGACCATGTCTACTAACCCATTGAGTCACTGTGATTTACATCCTCCCACATGCTCTGTCGAGTCGGAGTGTGGGGCCCTTTGGATTGGGGATTCAGCCTTTTGGGGTAAGAGTAGAGATGGGGCCAGTAAAACGTGGATGTCGAATTGTCGATACCCAAAAGAGGATGGATAGAAAGGGTGAAAGACTATGTTACCCCTGTGTTTTTGTCTAACATTTCCAATCGATATTTCATTAGTTTTTTTTTTTTTTTTTTTTTTTTTTTTTTTTTTTGAAATAATCGACATTTCAATTGAAATTTGGTTTCAAGGACTAAACTGATAAAGTTTCAAAAATATGTTCAGTAATAGATGTTTTAATAAATAATCAACCATCCAACTAAAACTGATAATATAATTTATAATTTTACACAAGATAGCAATTAAGTTCTTAAATTTTAAAAATGCCCAATTAAACACAAAAACTTATTAAAATCGATCAAATAATTCTTAATTATTTATCGATAAGCAATAGGTTACTGGTAAAATTACAATGATATGACATGTAGGCCGTTGTTGACTGCCAAAAATAAAAATTGTCGCAATTCAGAATACAAAGTTAACCGCCCGTCGCTTTCGCTGGAGAAGACGATTGGAGTGATCATCTTCTCGAATGAAGGCGACCAAGTTCGGTATGACAACCTTACACATGTTTAATTGTCAAAATTTTATCTAACATTAAAAAAAAAAAAAAAAAAAGTCACGGAGTATTTAATATGAATGTATGATTTGTTAAAATTAATTTTGTTAGTGATGGTAATGAACGACTGTAAACTTTTTTAGAAAAATAAAAAATAATAAGTTATTTAGACTTTTAGTAATAAATAATTGATGGATGTGTTTTGTTTCAACAAAAATTGATATCTAACACTATAGCCTCTTTTCATAGAGTGACATAACCACGAATTTTTAAATTGGATTGATTCTATTATCAAATTAAAATATGTGTTTTATCTCTATTAAAAAACTAAGGTGATAACAATTAAATTGAAGATTTATGTTTTTCAATTTATATATTATATGTTTTACACATATGATCATAATATTTTCTACTTTTAAAAATAATGTGATTAAGAATCATCACTTAAAGATAACTCTACCAAAGACTTTAACAGTTTCTCTTCCATGAAATTGTCTCAAAGAAGCATGAGATGGTCTGAAATATGTAATACTTTTAAGTAAAAATAAAATATATTTTTTATAACATGAGTCAATACATATTATATTTTCACTAATAATACTTATCAATTAAGGAACAAATAGTATTATTTTATGAAAATATAAGACTAACACAAAAACAAAACATTTTTACTTTTAAAAAGTTTACACATTTTTTTGGCCACGAAGTGTCCTAAACATGCCTTAATTGTAGAAGGCACATTTAAGTTCGTACCATACTCAGACAGAAAAATTACACATTTAAGATGCATCTCTAGCAAGTTTACGTAATACTTTAGAGACACGCAAAAAAAAAATAAAAAAATAAAAAAATAAAAATCATTAAAATATTTATTAAGGCAGAAAAATGGTGTCCGCAAAGGATAGACAAAAATCCAGAAGAGAAGACTACCTGGGTGGGTTTAAAATGGAGGTGAAACTGCAAATCTGTTCCATGGAGCCAGTAAGAGCAGAAAGCTGCAGCATGGTTTTGGGGATAAGCGGAATTGGAAGTGCCAGTGAATGCAAATGTAGGAAGAGCCATTTCTTTTTTTCAGTAGTGTAGTATCTAGTATGTGTGTGAATTGCAGAGGTGAGGTAGTGCAGATTCAAGGCTCACTGGAGAATGCCTAACGAACCCTGAGGTATTTATAACGAGATGAACACAAATACCTAACAACCCAGTGTTTGTTTGGAGGTGCAGAGGCTAGGGGAGGGAGCTGATCTGTCATCCTATCCCAGGTCAGAGAAAGGAGCTGAGTAATATAAGTCACTAATCCCTGCTTGTGTAAAGATTACATGAAAATGTAATATTTTTATTAGAAAATGTAGGAATAATGTTCAAATTGACCGCTGAATATAATCTGAAAATTCAATTAGGTCACTGAACGAAAAAAATGTATAATTAGACCACTGAACATTCCAAATGTATGTAATTTTACCGGATAACAGGTTACCATCAATTTTAGCAGGCTATCTGTTTACGTGATAGCTGAATTGACATTTTAAATAATCTTTAATAAATTTTAATAATAAATTTTTAAAAAATTGAAAAAAAAAAATGACAGGGTGGCCGCCCCCCTTCGTCTTCGGTGCCCCCTTCGTCTCCACCGGAGACGAAGGAGAGGGGGAGGGGGAAAGGGGGTGGCCGGCGGCCACTCGGTCGTTTTTAATTTTTTTATTTAATTTGTTTTCAATTTTTTTTTTAATATTTATTATTAAAATTTATTAAAAATTATTTAAAAGTATTAAAAATGCCAAATCAGCTGTCACATAAACAAGTAACCTGCTAAAATTGATGGTAACCTGCTATAAGGTGAAATTGCATACATTTCGAGAATTCAGTGGCCTAATTGCATCTTTTTTTTTTTTCCGTTCAATGGCCTAATTGCATTTTCATGTTACGTTCAGTGGCCAATTTAAACCTTATTCCAAAAATGTAATATTAATCAAGAATAAAATAATTGTTATTTATAAGGAAAAATGTAATATTTTGAAGAAAAATATAATAATTTTACATTTTGATTTAAAAGGATTACATTTTTCTTAAAAATATTACATTTTCTTTTATAAATAACAAACACTTTTACTGTTTTCCAAAAAAAAAAAAACAAATACTTTTACTAGTATTACATTTTTTAGATAATGATATGTTAGACTGTGTGATAGAAAAGTCACTGTGAGCCCGCACGGGCTTAGTTCATAGTTCAGTAAACAATATTTGGGAAAAAAAATCAAAGTTCGAAATTCGATAGCGGCAGTGTAGGAATTATGTTCAAAGTAGACAAAATCTTTGTGCACGCCGCTATTTGACCCTGTCCGATGAACTACTGAGTTATTGTGATTTACATCTTCTCACATACTCTGTCGGGTCGGACGTGTTGACCTTTATAAGATTGGAGATTCAATCTCTTGGGAGAAGAAAAGTCACTCTAAAATAAGTAGTATTTTGGAGATTCAAATGAAAAAGCTCAAGCATAACAACCCAATGTTTGTTTGCGGGTACAGAGGGTAGGTTCGTAGGGCCAAGAAATTAAATGAGTGATGGTGCCCGGGTCGCTACTCACTTTACCAGAAACACATTCAAAAGCTGAGAAATTTCAAGAAAACCAAAGAATAGAATGCCTGAATTGGAGATTAATTATAATTAAGTTTGAACGATGATCATCATTTTTTTACCCTGAAAATAAGTAAATGAAGTAAATTGGGCGGTGTGTCTCATCAAATGCTTGTACATATAAATGAATTTATGATCCAGACAGAAAACATGCATTTAATAAGAATTAGTCAAAAAGATATTCCGTATATATCAAAGTTCTATGACATGTATTTATTTTTCCTTCTTCTCATTTGAAGAGAAATTCTATATTTTATTGGTCTAACATTAATGAAAAAATGAAAGTATTATATGATTTTGTGTAATACATAATCATAATAGTTTAAATAATACTAAAATATTCTAATTGAACAATTATATTTGTAGTTAGATTTATTTTTAGATCGGAGAACTATTTAGCACATACTCTAGCTACATCAGATATTAGTCATTCTACTGCTATGTATTGGGATTCAATCCCACCGTCTACGATTTCACATTATTTTGAATAAATGTCACCTTGGCTCCTTTCAAAAAATATTTGTAGTTGAGTGACATTAACTTATGACTTTATGTTAATTGTGTGTTATAAGTTTGATTTCGACTCTTTAAATTAATTTAAAATTTATAATTGATAAGTATATGCACACTTCAATTTTTTTTTTTAAAGAAAAGTAAATAATACTCCGTAATAAAGAATTTGCATACTTCTCCCAAAGAATTTACATACTTCAATTTATACTTGGAGAGTCCACACACTGCAATTGTTGAAAGTTCTTATTGATAGTGTAAATACGATTGCAATACAGTTGTATTAAAACTTGGACGTATAAAGGTATTACATAGGCCGGCTGACCGGACTGACTACCTTTACTGTACGACGACGCCTAACTAATGATGCCCGGTAAACGTGACAGTGGGTTAGAGGTTCCCAGGTTCTATGACTGTCGTTTTGGTAAGCAGCTAAAAGTCTCTCTCAACTGCATTAAATGCGGTATTTATAGGAACTGAGGGGACAACACCCGGGCCTTCGGCATGCTGGCCGTGTGGCGGCCATGCATTAGGTGCATGCTCGGTCCGGTCGAGAGGGGCCACATGGCGGTAGATTCCTGAACAGCGTCAAGTCAATCAACTCATAGCTTCGGGTCAGAACCGACCAGAAGCACCCAAGAGGAAACGACCCCTCAGTATGAACGGTACATCTCTTTCAAGGAGCTCGGCGGCTTCAACTGACCGGGAAGACCCATTAACCGACCTGACGCTGATCGGTTTAAGCTAAGCATGACCGATACGTTTAGGACCAGTCAACGCATTGACGCGTGGCATTGGGAATAATCCCTATCAACTAGCCCCCCAGCCCGGACTTAGGCAACGTCTAGCGGGAAGGGGTTCGGGCTGGACATAGGTGAGCTTTAAAGGAGAAAACTAGGGCAAAATCAAGTGCCCCGTGTCCACATGATGCAATCATGGAGTACCATCTTTGCCCTTTTAAATTGCACCCACCAATGCTCACAATAGCCTAGGGGACCGTGCCTCAGTGTCGAAATTTGAAACGTTTCCCCCCGCATAGTTTCCCTATAAATAGGGCGCCCCTCAGGGCCTTTGTGCTTCACGCTTTCGCCTTTTAGAGACTGGAGCTTCCCGAGCAACCCCAAGTGCATATCGACAACTTCTTCCTTCTTCTCCAACTATTCGTAACCGGTAAGTCTCTCGACTTTAGGACTATATTTAAATTCTTAGTCCCAGTTGTCGTTTATTAACGATTCTCGGACACCCCTTTCTGAACCGTCTTCCCCTTTAACTCTAGGGAGTAGACTTGTCTGACTCTGATAACCAGAATGCGCATGTCCGACGTTACGACAACGCAATAGAGGTTGGAACCTCATCGGCTTCCGACGACAACTCCACCCTTCAGGCGATCGAAGATTATCCGGGGGAACATGCTGAACCGCCCCCCCCCCCCCCCCCCCCCAATCTTCAACCAACAACAGTGGCGGTCAGTCGTTTCCCAGTCTCTGAGGGCCACGGGGCACGATTTTCCCGGTCGCCCGACGATAACGGAAATCGAACGGTGACCACCCATTTGGTGACCGAAGAGGATAGATACTCAAGTCATGGAAAATCACCACGGGTCGTTCAGGCGGACCTAGCAAGAATGGCCCAGGCTACCATGTTCGGTCGTCAAACAATTCAACCAGACATGGATCCTACTTTTGTTCCACCGGCCACGGCTAAGTGGCTTTTCTTGAACAATGAATCCCTCGGCCAAAAAGAGTGCATTCTTACCCAGGCTGAAGTAGAAGAGGTTAAAGCTTTGCTGACTTGGCAGGTTAAATTCGATACATGCCGGTCAGTAGGGAACATAATTGAACGCACTCAAGGGGATTGGCTTGGGATTCATTTTGATTCTCTCAAAGCCCCCTTGATGTTTCCGTTCAGCTCTTTCCTCATATATTTTATGAGGTATTATGGGGTTCTTGTGACAACCCAAAATTTATTTTCTAAATTCCAAAATAGCCATTTTCACTCTTCCAAAATTTTATTTCGAAACGGTGTTTGAATTAAATATTTTAAACCAAGTTTTTAAATAAATTCAACACCGAGATTTATTATACTTCGAAAATCGTAAATTTCGGGTACATTTATATACCAAGCTTTGACCCGAAAAGTCAATCTGAGTGAAACCGGAAAGGAACCTAAGAAACCTGAACCAAGTGTTTTAACTATAAAATATTTTTAGAAAATCTATTTTTTACCCCAAGTTATCCAAAATCCACTTTTTAGACTTTGGTCCATGACGCAAGGTGGACCATAAGCTTTATACCCTTTGTCCGATCTTTTAGAAATTAAGTCAAATTACCATTCCACCCCCAACCAGTCATTGAAGATCCTCCTAGAGTTTTGCACCCTTTATAAGCCATACTATTACATTGCTTGATTCTCTTATCTCTTTCCCTTGCCTCTTCTCCCTTGTGTTCTCTGTAGTAGGAAGAAACCATTCACAGTAAGTTTCTAAGCTTCCATCCTCCTCCATTCATCATTTTACTTCTAGTTTCTTCTCTTAGCCTTCAATCTCTGAGGTTTCTCTTCTTGTGTGTTGTTTGTGTGGTTGTTTGAGGAGTTTAGGAAGTGGAAGTGGTGAAAGTTGAGTAGAGAGGAGGAAGAGATCCATACAAGGAAGAAGAACAAGCAAAGGTATAAACCATGGACTCCCAAACTATCATTTTGTTCTCTGTTAACTGTTAGGTTGTGGTTAAATGTGTAGAAATGCTAGATAGATGTTGTGGTTGAGCTATTGGTGTATTGTAGATGATCTATGATTGATTTTATTATGGTTTTGGAGTGTTGGTTTGCACTGGTTTGTGTTTCAGGGAAGAGGAAGGTGTCTAGTGCACCAGATCACCCAACGGTGCTAGCCAGCGGACCATGCCATGGTCTGTTGGCCAGCCCCATATAGGAACTGAGGGGACAAAACCCGGGCCTTAGGCATGCTGGCCGCGTGGCGGCCATGCATTAGGTGCATGCTCAGTCTGATCGAGAGGGGCCACGAAGCGGTAAATTCCTGAATAACGTCAAGTCAATCAAC